CATCCCCACCATCTGGGTTCTGGATCGTAATTCAACTGGACAAAGGGAAAGCTGGCCATTGACGTTAAATTCTATCCATCTCCAATGGGCCAAACAAGCGAACTTGCGTACCACCGTTGCAATGTACATGGTTTACCGTTAAATTTTCCACCCCCAAAGTCATGAACTTGGCTGTACAATGGATCTATTCTGTTCATAAACATGTATCGAAGATACTGGAGGCGTTCTAATTAGGGGATTAATCGCTCTTCACCGCCGATATACCGGGCTGTCTGTTCGCCTCCGGCTACTTCACTGATACCAGTGGTTGATTTTCATCAATTTATCTTCTCGATATTCAGCCATCATCGTCGGCACATTGTGACGGTCCAAGGAGCGGTTATGAAAGCGGAGTGGAATGACATGAGAATGAAAGGGGGGTGGGTAGGGAAAACAAGTTAATGGCATGCAAATAGCGGAGATATTACGTACCGAGCAGTGGATTTTCTTATTGGCCGGCACATTCTATGGTGCATTTAGCCGGTGCTACAGTGCAATCACCTTTTTCAATGTGCTCGGACACCTTCGTTTTACTCGTTCTCAATGGTATTCCACCAATGCCCGATTCTACTCGTGTAATATCCATGTTTATTGCCATGTACATACTGATTTCCCCCAGGGTAAAGGGCCATTCAGTTCAGCATTCAGCTCGCAAGTACATGACTCTGTGTTTTCAAATCTTCATTGGATTACCTATTTTCAAGATCAATATCTGTGGATTGCATCGACAAATCCGGAGGAACAGTTTTGCCTTCGCTGATGCGTCCAGATGAATCAGATTTTGGCTTCGCATCGATCATTTCAAATTTAGACCTTTGGAAATTGAGTTTAGACTTGTTGATCTGAGTTTTGGTATTGCGACAGCGAAAAACCTTTCGTCTTTGAGGATTTTATTATCGTATAAACCGGGGAAATTCAATTTTGGAAAAAAACCACTTTCTTTGTCGAAAAATCCTAGATGCGGCCCGGGGGCCGCAGTGACAACAACATTTTTTTTAAATACTTCTTTCCGGTTTTGAAAATCATGCTATCGTCTAAAAGATGAAAATAGGTAGAATGAAGTAAATGTGATTAAGAAATTATATATGAATCAAATCTCACATGAATTGCATATGTGAGGGAATAATCATGAACAAAATTAGCGGAAAAATCGAATTGAGTTCAATTATTTCATGTCAATTGACGGTTTTTCAACCAATAAACTTGAATATTCAGTGAACTCGAAAATATCATGAATTAATTTTCTGCTCCTGCAAATTTATTTCTGAATATTCATGTTGCGCGGAAAATTCCCTCGAAATTTTCAAATTTCCATATCACTTCCACCAAAAACTCATAAATTGCCTGGAATCCTACATAAAGCTTGGATTTTCGCAATGATTGTTCGAAATCGAATTCGCTGTTATTTCCATCGGTATTACTGACGGGATTATTTTTCGATAGTATTTGAAGAGATTTCTACCAGTGCTTCAAGATATTTTTCTTCTACTAGAAATAGTTGTGAATGAAAAAAAAAATGAAGGGTGATGCCTTGTAATCTATAAATTCATCAAATAGAAATTTTTACCGATTTTTCATTGACGAATCATTTAATTTCTTGAATATTCTGGTAATTCTCAATTCTCAGTCAGTTTCAAATTCAGGTCAATAAAAACGTACAAATATTGAAAATTCGAGCATCGAGATTCGATTAAAGCATCAATAATTATTTATTCAATAATTATTCGGCATATATCTATTATACAACTGGGACTTAGTTTTGGTAAAAAATGCAGTGTATCTGGAAAAGCCTTCGGTTGTTGTCAATTGGATTTTAAAAGTGAGTTCTCATTAATCTAAAAATTCTCAATCGTTTTAATGTCACCTGATTTCTCCCCTCTATTCGCGAACGGTCGAACCACTTCATGGGACTTTGCTGGAAGACAAACTGTTATGCATTTCCTTCGTCAGTAATTTACTTCTAGCGGATGGGAGCGAAAATAAAAGATCGTACCCGGTAAACTAATGATTACAGCACGAATTACGACGCTTGGGCTTTCTATCTCAGTCGGCAGGTGTCGTATGTCCTTTTCCCTTAACTGTACGAATTCAACGTCACGCAGCACAAGAGGAACGACATCGATTGCTCGTCCTCCATTCCATGGGATAAAGTCCATTAGAAAATTCAGATTCTATCAACTTTGATTCAACTTTCTATCCGATTATTCATTCACGTAATAATAAATCATGGGTTTTCATAATTGTCTATCGAGGCAGAATCGTCGTGAAATTGTTGGTTTTCCCCTTTATCTTAACATTTTATGCTCATTTTTTACTCCGTAAATGTCAACATTTTTAAATAGTTAATGGGTGGAGTATCCGAGAAACTTTCAGGTCTCCTGGGATCATATAAGATCACCAAACTAAAATTTATTATGAAAATTTAGAAGAATGTCTTTATCAATGACCAATTTATTTCAAATTTGAGAAATTACAGTATTTTATGAAAATCCACATATTTCAAGATAAAATTTTTTATGCATTTATTTATACCGAGAGAACTTCCTCAGCGGAAGTTTTTAATCAATTAAATAATTGATTGACTTAGTAGAATTTTTTCTCCCGGTATCTCGAAATTCCGTCTATTGACCGAAAAATTCAATGAAAATTACGAGAAGAAGGACGTAATAATAAAAATGAATAAATGCATAATTATATCAACAAAATTTCAATTTTAATTTCCCAAAAGCATACCTAAAGATTCAAAATATCTCACTATATTGAAAATATTAAAATAAAAAGGGAATGGATATCCCAGATATCCATCGAGCTTTAGTCCCTTTCGTATTACCTCCAAAAATGATGGAATATACCTTATCGCCTCTATTTATCCCTCGGTTTTCGAGTGTAGTTTCCATACTGGGAAAACTCGCCTTCTCTGCACTGAATTCCACTCCCCTGCGCCCATTATATCCAAGTGTAATTTTAGTAATGAAAGCCCCAGCGTGGCGAATACAACGAGTTACCGAAATTCTTTTATTATTTTTTTTTTCCCCAACACCGGAAAACGCAGTGGTGGAACCGCTGTTGCGCGATTATTGCAATCGTCTCGGTGTATACAGTGCCATCCATCCATTCGCCCACAGCGAGGTAAAAGGATTTTATTTTTGTAATTCAACACTGCGCATTACTGTTGATATGGATTTTTTTTTATTCCATGGGCATTGTCATTCCAAGGGGATTCGTTTCATGATTTTATTTTGTGAGGGATGGAATTTGGATTAATTCACGAGGTAGTCGTGTATTTTGCTGAGAATCGGATGAATGTATTTTTTTTTCATCTTATTGAAGGAGACTCCTCTTTTTGTTACAGGGAATTGAAGTATCAACTAGCTCTGGAGGAATTCATCGCCGATATTCTCGAATGAAGCGTAACAAAGCCTTCCTTGTTACTTTCTACACGGCTGAGCGATGTTCATAAAATGGGTACAAATGATGCGCCCCAGATACTGAGATCCATCGACCATCTTCATAGTTCATTTGTGAGATTCATCAATACAACCGCTCATGATGTTGAGGTACTCTGGATTGATTATGAGGGACTTGCTGTGCGGTATGGCATATTAAATCCTGGGGATCGACTCGATATCAACACTTTTGCTAGTCATCCCTGGATTTTTGTCGAGAAAGACACCAGAGACAGGTGAATTTTTTATCTCAATTGTAGATAACTTTGCAGAAAAGTAAATTCGCATATTCATGAATACTCGTCTAATCTATGGACGTAATTTTTTTATTGAATTTCAATCCTGAAGTGCAGGGATAATCACTGGAATTATTTTTTTATCTCCTGATCGGTAGAGAATGAGAATGGATCAATAGATTTTTTTTTCTGAAATTACAATTTTGAGAATGGAAATACTACATAAATGCAATTAAATTATCATATTGTATAAGATTTACAACGATTTCGTCTGCTTGAATATAAATTTCTCAAATTAGAAAATCCGGAGTAGCAAGTACTTGTGGATTAAAAATTCATATTCTTCCAGTGATAAAATTATAACAGTCGAAAATAATAATTAATTATTTACATTTCACATTTTATCATTCTTATAATATTCAAATATTAAATCATCTTTTCCTCCAATTCTGACTTGAAAATTCCATATTTTACATTTTATTAATATTTTAAGAATATTTTCCAATAAGCTCCCAAAGCTGTTACACCCAATTTTTGAAAAGGTGATGAAATAAGCCAAATAACTTCTGTAACTAGTTATTCGTTAGTATCAATAATGTAACTGTAATTAGGACATTCGATTATGTCAAAGGCCAAAGTGCACTGAACGTTTATTCCATTATGGAGCTATATACATTTTTCTCTTACATTTCGGCACTTTCTGCCCCCCTTTTTGGCTAATTGGCCCTATCCCACTCTATGCATGCGGCTGTAGATCCTACACTGCACCGTATTCACTCTCCTATAGAACATAGTAGTGACATGGGAAACCACAGGCAAAACCATGTCGGTACAGGCGGTTGCTCTATTAGCAACTTCCCCCACTTCCTCGCGTTCATCGGTGTCTGTTTAAAAATTCGATTCAATGGGATATCGAACCTACGACTTTCAGACCACTAGGCTTGCACCTAGCCACTGAGCTACCAAAGTCGGCCATTATGGAGATAAAATATTAATAATACAATCTATTCATTGCAGGTTCGTGGTGGATGGGAAAAACGTATTTCTCCCGCAGCCTTGGTTCGCTCGATATCTTGACATGCCCCGTCATGAACTACCACAAAGAATCGAGCGGATCGAAGTGAATATCACTCTGCCAATCTACACTCTGCGGGATCTCTCTTTACGTGTTATAAAGCGTCGTTTGCGGCACGACTATCACGCTTTTCTTCTCGAAATACCACAGAGTCTTCAATACGAATTGGCCTCGATGCTACCGCGAAAGGGCGATTTTGCCGAACCCTGACAACGAGTTTCTGTCTCCTGAATCTACTGAAAAGAGAATCAACGTATTCGGGGACACGATTTACCATAATAATACGAGGTAAGTCATTGACTTATTCATTCTTGAGTGTTTTATGTCCAAGGAATGGTAATGAGTCTCATTAGAATGGAGACATCATCATTGAATTTGCAGACAAGTCCCCATAAATCTACTATTACATCCATTCGCGGTTTAACGCTCTCGGATAAATACCTATTTCCTTGCAATAATTGCATCTTAATGATTGCATGGGGTGAAATTCACCACAAATATTTTTGGCCAATTTATGGTACGTTTCAAACGATGAATCGGTGGTTTTTGGGGTAATATTAAAGTTACTTCATCAAAGGATTCAAAGATTTTATGTCTCTCATCGAAGTTAGATCATAATCCTTGAAAGACAAAGGGAAGTTGGTAAAGTTAAAGATATTCCTCCCTTCAGTCTCAAAGCGATTGAGAATCAGCAATGGTATAGTCTGTTAATCACTGAAAGCGTTCCTTTGCTTAAACGCTCTATTCATTCACTAAAACAGTCTCTGATTCATTGAAGCTTTTGGTATTTCCAGTGATTTTCTCGGTTTCTGACATGAAATAATCTATTTCTTCCAGTAAAAAAATTTCCATGTTGATATTAATTGATCATTGATCATGATCATCTGCCTCGAGTGACTCAATAGGAATGGCGGGAATAATTTCTTTTCGCAGTATATAAAATCTTCTTTCGCAATTAGTAAAGGATAATTGGAACGTAACGAGGAGTTGCCTCATATTGCATAAACACTGTCTAGAATAAAAAAAGGGTCTGGACAAATTGAATGAATTCATAACACTCAGGCATTTAGACTGTTTGGAATTCAAACTCGTGTATCAACCCCCTGAGCCCCTTGTCCCTCAATTTACTTATGCTTGTTCTCTTCAACAAGTCACATTGAATATTTAAAACCTCCCGAGACGTTGCGTCACACCTCTGGAAGTCTCTACAATATCCACAATTGAACACCGAAATTGCGCAATTTTCATTTTCACATTTCTCACTGAGTCATGCGGCATTAAAATTTTCCCTCAACCCATGATAAATATCACAGGAATTTCTCCTTGAATGCGAAGAGCAGATCGTAGGACAGGTTTCAGGGGTAGCAACGAAAATTTTTATTTTATTTATTTTTCCGTTTCTCACACATCATCCAGAACATAAATGTCTGCAAATCAACCGGTGATTAACGGACAATTTCGATTTTATATTGACTCTTCAACAAAATGTAGTTCTCAGTGCGGACCTTTAAATTTTTCCCCATTCTTCCTGGGCCGATCATCAGAAAACTATATCACGGCAATATCTATTGATCGCAATGTGCCGACAGCTCCAAATGAACACCCCGAGACACCAAACCCATGTACTACCCCCCAATGATCGTATTTTCCGTGCTAAATTCGTTACTCCTACTAGCTTCATAAATTTTTCCCAGCTGTTTGTGTGGATTCAGTAGAACAAAAAGAAAAACACAAAAAAAAAAATCAAAAAGAAATTGAAAGACGAATGAGACAGAGACAAGTAAGTCCTCGCTTGTGGAAGCCGGTCACGTGGATTCGATCGTTCGCCGGGGAGAGTTCGAGGTGCCGGGATAGAATCGAATGAAATTCCCTTACTTTTCGTGTGCCACGACATTTTTTCCTCCTCCCCTTCTCTTTTCAACGGTGTACCCCGTTTCGGCTTTTTTTATTCTATTTTTTTTTTTCGGCTCTTCTCCTCTTTCTTTCATGTACCAGCGATTCAGCTTGCTGTCCAGTCACGGACGATCGGCATCGCGACGCGAATGAAAAGTTTTTCACCGGTGCAAACATAAAAAAATAAATAAGAGCGGTGAGATGGTTGGGGTGGCGAGGGGGGGGGGTGACTAGGGGGCGGTGGGATGGCATAGGAATGGAGGGAAAACTATACAACACTGGCAAATTTCATTCGAAACACGCGTGCGTTCCACGGCTATAGTGTCTATCTCTGCGAGTCACGTAGCAGCACCCAAAGCGCGAGAAACGCTTCTCGTCTTTTACGTTGGTTGTGTAAATACCTATGTATTTTGTATGTGTGCCGGTACGGCGAATTGCCCGGTTGAAATCAAGATACCACACGTATCCGAATTCTTGGGACGTTATATCAAACGGAATTATATTCATTTATCCGATATATTGAGGATTTTCGTGGAGTTTCGTCGCTTTTATTTATTCCGAATGGAAGTATTGTAATCATTGAAACTTGATCAATGAAAAAATATTAATATTATATATTAATTGAAATTCTATTTATTTATTGATTTTCTCGATTTTTACGTTTTTTTAAATCTTTTTTTTATGATAAGTGAAAAAAAAGTTGTGTGGAATACTTGAAGGGTGGTTTTAATCATTTGTTTTTTTAACAAGTTCGAAGATGGAAATAATAATAATTACCGGTGTAATTGAAATCTCTCGCAGGACGTTCTACTTTAATTGATTTTGATTAGAGTTTAACATGAGAGCATCGATGCTATATATTGCTGAAATATTTCACATGATTTTGGTTAATTGCCGGTTTTGAAGATGACAAACGACCATTCGGAAGTAATTGCTCATTTATTTTTGTTCGCGGGAATGTAGTTTCGGGAATTTTTTCAATTTCCACCACCTATTGCATTTGGATTTTCAATGTCGTAGGGTACTGGTACATTGAACCGAAATTTCCGGAATATCGGTACACAAAACCGGAATTTCACGATTCAATTGAGGATATTACATCCAACCAGTTATTGGGAGCTTATATAGGAGTTATATCGGAATTATATCGGCATCAATCGGAAGTATATTGATTGATCTGCTGCATATGGAGGATTTTTGAGGGGTTTTGTCGCTCTTCCAGATTTCTTCAATCTTCAGCAACCGTTGCAACTCAATTCTCAATATTGCATGTTCACTGTAAAAATTTATTGCATCGCGGTAAATCTTGTTGACATTTTTATCTAGGATTTTTCATCATAAAAAAATGAACGGATTCCATAATGAGTTGTAAAATTTTTTCATAGAGTTTCGACAGATTATCGCCAAAATTGCCTGAGGGAAAAATTCGGATAACGAATTTATCTCGGTGTTTTTTATCCCAAAGAGTCATAAAAACGTGACGAAAGTGTCTTAATTGACGGTATCATTGTGTCTTAATTGGAGACAGTGCTTCTCTAGGTGTTTTGCTCTGGAAACGACAATTTCCCTCGTATTTCAAAATATCATCCTCCAACATCAAACAAAGTCAAGTACCCGGATGGTGGAACTCGGTATAATTCTCAAGAAAATTACGGGATCATAAAGTCAATTCCTTGCGTAGGCAAATGGTGATCCATGGGAAGTTGTGCCCTCTGAAACTACCATTCAGATGGTAAAGTTTCGTAGGGTCTCCCCAATCCTCGATGTTCGTGGAGGCGTGAGAAGTGGCCTAGGTACTCCAGAGCGCGGCGATAGAATCCTGGATGCGTTTACAAGGACATTCCAGGGCTTTGTGCCGCGGGATGGCGTAACATAGGGAATCACAGAAATTGGGACCACCCGTGGTACCTCTCATATTAACGCCCTCGCGTTTCATATGGTTTGACGCGCGTGCGACAAGCCAATTGCCTCAATCAACCGTTCAACCACATCACCCTGGAAAAAAGGGAAAATCATTTTAACGAATGACTTTCAATCGTTGAAATTCAATTATTGAATTGTATGAAGCATCCTCAATCACCATTTGGGTATTTCAATGTCGTTAATGTACGATCCAAGATTCAATTACGTCTACATAATAAAAAAATTGCCAAATTTCACTTTACGAATCATCTGAATTTTCGTGTCCATGAGTTTCAACTCAATTTCAATGAAAAACGCTCGCTGAACTCGTTAATGGTTTTGAAAGTTTTATAAAATTACTTTTTTTCAATAATCAATGTTCAATGTTCAATAATCATTGATGATTGATAATTCATTTGTGAATAAAAGTATACGTTTTCATGCTCATCGTGAATATTCTACATCGAATACGATAAATTTTCCAATAGATTGAAAATTCAGGGAAATTAATTAATTGGTTAAATTTTTCATCACGTTTGTGAATTTTCAGTTCAATGTGTTTAATTTCAGAAATTAAATCATTTATCAATGAAGAACTCTTGAAAATCGCAATTTTTTTACTCGAAATTTCAAGTGTAATTTTCCACTCGTTTTAAATATAAAACTGGTTTTTCAACAATAATTGTGAGTTATCAAAATTCAGGTGAATAGTTTGGTAACATTAATAAAAATTAGTCAATCTCCAATTTCAACAAAAGAAATATTGGAAAATATTTAAAGAGATATTTCAATTTTTCGGTCGAAATGATTTTTTTTATGGGAGAGTTTTTCAGTTGATTCGAGTGGAGATTCTCTTTGAATCAAGTTGATGCTTCTGCTTGAATAAACCAGGGCTTTACGGGAATCAAGTCGATAATTCAGTTTGAAATCTACGAGAAATACTCGGACTTAAATCCACAGTTAACCCACATTTATTGAATTTTCTGGAAAAAGACCTTTAATTTGATCAGGAGCTTCAACGTTTTTTGAAGTTGATAAGAGAATATTTTTTATGGTATTGAGTAAATCGTTGGAATTTTTGAATTTCAAAATTTTTGAATTTCAAAAATTTTATTCACAATTTTCCCCCGAATTCCGGAAATTCATATCCCATTTAATATCTCCGTCATTAAAACATCTTGTCATTGAAAAATCAAATGATCCGTAATTTTTCTGTTCAAACTTGAAAAATCACAAAAAATCCTGAAAATTCGAAAAAAAAATGTAAAACTGCAATATCTCTCTAGAATACGTACGTTCTCTAGAAAATTCAATCAAGTCGCAAAATTTTCATCTGACTTCCCGTGAAACTCATAAATATCCTCGAATTCTACCCAAAACATAAATTTTCATAACCATTTTTCCCATAAATCCGACTCAGTGTCGCTCTCATGAGACATACTCTGGTATTTTCCGTACAAAAAAATCTACCAACTATAATCTATACCCGTGGA